TGTCACTGAACTTCTCTCAAACGACTGGACCGATTTTGACGAAATTTTTTGTGTGTGTTCAAGGGGATCTGGGAATGGTTTAGATTCACAATTTTCATCAAATATTAACTTCATATTAATTTATTCAATTTAAAGACATGTAGACAGGACAACGTCTGTAGGGTCCGCTAGTGATACTATAAATATTTAAAAAGTATTATCAGCTACTACAGAACTTAGCAACAGTACCGATTTTAGATTGAGATATCTAGATTTAAGACCCCTCTCTTTTTGCTCTTGCTGTGGGGGAAGTTAAAGGGGCAGTGCACCCCAGTATACTGATATTACTGTTCTGTTTCTATTTTGTTCATATGGATTTCTTATATACGATAAATAATGTTTTTAGTATAAGTAGACTAACTCATTAAACATATTCTTGTATGAAAGTCCTCTCAGCACGATAGCCGTGCCGTCCTTGGCGGCGGCGGTGAGGGTGAGCGCGCGTCTAGGGCAGACGTCTCGTGACCAGCCTCTTTCGCGCACTCCTCGCAGTCGCAGCCGCTCCTTCCTCTGCAGGGCACCCTCCTCCTCGAACGTCTGCAGTGTGCCCTGCACCGCGCCGAACTGCAGCCAGCCATTGTGCCCGAATTTACTTCTGCAAGATCAAACATAAAATATTCTCTAAATCTCAAATCGGACGAAATCGCAAAAACGTAAAAACTATTACGGTATATAACAAGGCAGATTTACTTAGTACATTCATGTAAACTTTTTGTACGTACAGTATTTGAGTCCAGGATCCATCGCGCCACGTGTCTAGTGCCAGCGCATGAGCAGCGAGCTGCTCGCTCCAGTCCGCCGGGTGCCGCACCACACTCGTCGCTGAGCACCAACTGAGTTGAGAGACACAGTTGTATTAACCGCAACTTCGAAACTGCCACTTGCTCTAATGATCATAGACCTTTGTAATAAGACCTCCTTGAATAATATTTTTTTAAGAATCCCATTTACGTTACGGCAGCACGACAAATTTTTGTCCTTGAGATCATTTTAGTCCTCATTCTTCATTCACCTTGCACTTATTGTATATAAAAAATACGAACATAAGATTAAGTCGCACATGTTGCGTGATGTTGTCGACTGAATTCGTTAGTAAACCATTGTACAAAATCCTCAATCTTTCCTCCGGTTCAAGGATCTGGATCTTCAACCCTCCCGCGCACCATCCGTCATCTATACTTTCCCATGGAACCATTAATGTGTCAGGATAATCTGAAATTATTTCACGAATAATTACTTAGATGTCGCTGTATCGTGCCTTATAATAACAGTTTGTCATATATAAAATTATAATAGGTTATTATTTTGTGTTGATTTTAGATACGACAAGAACACAAATAATTTTATACAATATTCACTTTAAAATTCTTACTTGGTAATTTATATGAAGTTCCATCAGCTAATTTTACATACAAATTAACTTCGGCCATTGGCTTGCGTCCACATATTTTGCGTATACTCAACAGCACGCTGGTGCCATCTGTCGCAGACGCCCGTATTGAAATACCGTCCCATCCTTCTGTCAAACCTTCTTTACTTTTCTCTGACACAACGAACTTTGAAGGAAACTGTGATTTCCATCGCCTGACCGCGATACGTGCAAAGATATATTTTATTATGTAATTCCATTCTGTAAAAGAAATATCTTATTTATAGGACTATAGCACGAAGGATTAAAAGGAAGGAAGGAGAAAGCAAAAACATTGATATTTTAACAAGTTATCTGTCGTGTTTCTCATAAATGCGGTCAAGTCAGGGAAACGGTTTCTAAATTCAACCGGCACATCTCATATTGCCTTTCTACTGTTATTATGATCTACCCACAAATTGCGTATGTTGGTAAAAATGGTATTTAAACATGGAAATAGTTCTGTTGCCAATAGCCATTATTATACAAAGAGACATAATGATAAAATAATGATAGCACGAACAAGGTCTATTTGTATTTTGGATACAACCGAAGTTATTGTTATTCAAATATATTAGTGTGTTTATTGCTCCATAAAACGATCTAAACATAATACACTAAATTAAATAATTGCTTCCGTGGGTTTCCATTTTCAAAACATTCAACTATTATCATCTGTCATTCTTATTTAAAAAAAATCTGAGAAACAATTTTTCTAAGTTTAACTCCGGGTAACTTTCGATTGGTTCTATTCTAATTAGGTATTATTGTGAAATTCAGTTTCAAAGCATTAAAAGTAACTTTCTTTATTATTTTATAAGGTTATTTATTGTGTTTATCGCAATCAATGAAATTCAAATATTGATTATTATATAACTAAAGGAAGAACCTTGTCCGCTAAATTGTTTATTTGATTAGTACAAGGAAGGATCAATTAATATATTTCCCAAAAAATAAAGCCGCATTAGAAAATATTTCCTGATTTAATACTTCATTAAAAAAAGTCAATATTTCTTTACAAAAACCATTCAAAGTTTAAACTGTGTCGTGCGCCATAGATATTATGAGTTTTTTTTTATAATAGTAAAGACATCAATAGAATTGTTTCAAGGACGTTTTAATATTGTAATTGATTTGCGTACTGACAGCGAGGTACAAAATAAACCGTGAATAAACAGTATTACGAAGTCCAAAGAACCGGTTTTGAATTCGCGGATAAGAGACATCACATCACACATTTTAAACATTAATATTGTATTTGCTTAAAAATAAATCGAACGTTACATAAATAAGTAAATAACTCGACTCACCTTTCTCTCTGTACGGTCCAGTTTTATTAGTAGGTCTTCTAAAATAAATTAAATATAAAACCAGTGCGGATGTTATCAATCCTGCTTGTAGAAGGATGTCGTATAGATCCATATCAACATTTACACTCGTTTACGGAGGTTAGTCATAGAATAATTCTATTAAAAGATTGTGGCTGATCTTAGAGTTTGTAGAGACACTACCGTACTGTCGATGTGACTAAATTGAAATGAATCGGACCGCGACTTCTCTAATCAGTCAATTTTCATGTATCATAGTCTACATGCTATCATTACTAATGATAAGCGTTCGGCTAACAACATATTAATCAAAAAAATATATAATTACTAATCAGATAATAGTCTACTGAAAGACAGATCGTTAATCTTTAAAAAATAAAATGCACATAATAATTTGGTATTAATTATAAAATACTTACTCTTAAGTTTCATGTGTGCGGCTTTGCGATTAAATTTCATATGTCTTTTATTCTCACTATGAGTGATTTGTCGAAACTCTCAAACTTATTGTCATCTCTCTCACTATGTTTGAGAGAAGAGAGACAACAAATATATTTTTATAATTTCGACAGTAAAATTTCATGTTTAATCTATAAGGTTTTTATAAAAATAAATAACGAACAAAATGTAATAATAGCACCACTCCTTTTAAGAATATTTTTAATACTGTTTTCTTGAATTTCAACCAAAAGTTTATCCGTGTCGAGTAATCGTAAATACTTTTACGAATAAATTAACGTAGGAATAACAAAAGAAATGAATAATTAAAAAAAATTAAGGGTAAAAAAAAACGACCGCATTACTTAAATTTTTATTTATCTAGTAACTAAGCAAAATAATCTTGTTTTGGTATTTGCAATTGGAATTTTTCTACTTGACATATTTTAGTTGCTAAATATTATTTAAACAAATTCAATAATAATTTAATATATACCAATAAAAAAGGAGAGCAAGACTTGTCATAGTAAACATGTCATGTGACAGGAAACAATATTTTTAACACTAAAATTCCATTAAACCTAATTATTTCTATAAAAAAAATTACATCTTGCTACTTTTTGGAACAATTTTGAGCAGTTTTTTTAATTCGCATGAGTCTTTTTTATGTTTTTTTTTTATTACAATCTCTTATTAATATGTACCAGTCTTAGTCAATAGATAATAAAATCATGTAAATTTAACTAAAAATCTAGGAATGTTTAATTCCCTGTAAAATGTCAGCGTTTTAAAATTGAAATTAAAAATGTTAATTTTATAAATTTCTGCTACTAAATGTGATTTTATTTATAGCAAATAATTTAATGAAAAAATTGTTAAAAATTTAACTGATAAAAGTTGATTTTTTTTAATAATTTATTTTACTTCTTGGCTCTGGTATAATAAACATTTAAATTGTTTATAAAATTTATACGTAGATATATTTAACAGAGACGAACAACAAAGGTGCAGTTAAAATTTATTTCTAACACATAGCCAAATAGACACTAAATTACGAACCCTATTAATTGACTAATATAAAGAAATAAATAATGATAAAACTAAGCTAATACAAACAAAACTAGGAAATCCTTTACACCCTAATATTCAATAATTTTCGTTACCAAAATAACTGATTTTATTTATATAGTAAAATAATTTTAGTACAATTTAAAATTGTTTTAATTATACTAAAATTAATTATTTCATGGCGTAAAATTTCCAATTTCCTATATTTATTTATATTCAAATGTATAAATAAAATTCACTAACAAAAAATACTATCACGAAAACGAACACATAATCTTTGTATCATCAAGAAAAATACGAGAAATCAAATATGTTTTTGTACCAATATATTGGTAGATTAATTTTATGAATAAAGTAAACAAGTCAAGAGGAATACATTTTCTACAAACATATTGTATAGTATTTAGTTAGATTTTTCTTTTTGCTTTTGATATCTACCCTGAGATGGAAACTAGACAAAAAAAAATTAGTGCCATCTTTTGAGTTTGTTTTAAACTAAATATAATTTTAAACATTCCTGGCTTTTCCAACACAAAGGATTGTTATCATGATTCTATTTTTGGGAGCTCGTATGTCTAATCGTAGTAAGAATGTTTTTTCTTATGAATTTTCAGTTTAATGTCATATATTAGTAGCTAAATATTTCACTAGATGGCGCACACCGAAACATTCGGTCATGTTCCAAGCAAAAAAAAAATTCTATAACAAAATTTACTATTACAGATAAAAAAATCAAGTAATATTATTGCTAATTATTTATAATGTCTGTAATAGTCAGCGTCATGTAGCACCAAGCCTCGAGAAAAATTAAATTAAAAATAAATTCACTAATCTTCTTTCTTTTTGAGTGGTTCTTCTTCGGGTGCATCAATCATGCTTGTCGCGGTGTCTGTACGCGACTTGTCTACAGGATACAGCCTGCAAATTATAATTATATGATAAATTAGCTGTCGCCCGCGACTCCGTCCGCGCGGGATTAAATAATTAGATAATAGCCGATTCCCAGACCTAATGAATATATATATATATATATATATATATATATATATATATATATATATATATATATATATATATATATATATATATATATATATATATATATATATATATAATTTAATAATAATCGGTCAAACCGTTTTGTAGGTGTGGTAACTAACATTGTGGCACGAATTTTATATACAAGATAAACAAGTTAAATCTATATACAAACTATATACTGTAACTCAAATATAAAATATTACTAGTGTCATATGGACGGATTGTGATATCTGACCAGGTGGGCATAAGTGAAACTAAAATATGATAGTCCACTAGCGCCCTCTTTTCATACCATTCTCGATGCCTCGGTTTTACGTATTTTCTGACAAAACTAAGCGCGATAGCAGCGCCTCTTTTACCAGTTAAAATATCACTGTTTTAACACAGTATAAAAATTCTCGTGTCAAAGTAGTCTTAAAACTTAGTAAAGAAACAAATGTTACTAATTCTATAATAAAAAATTACGAAATCACACTAAATTTATATAGATTATAAATAACCATAGACAATCATACCATCGCTGATAGAGGTAGACAAGAAAGACGAGGTCATCTCTGAAGCAGGCCACGCGGTGTGCAGTTGGCATGGTGATGATGAAGGCGAAGACATCATCGATGAAGGTATTGAAGGCTTTGTACATGAAGGCGCGCCACGGCAGCGCCGCCACAGACCTCAGCCGGTAGTTCACAAACAGCTGCGGCAACATGAACAGGAATCCAAACGCGTAAACTCCGTTCACCACACTGAGCAGCGCCCACGAGTACCAACTAGAGAACAGAAATATAGTTATTCTGAGAAACTTTTTTTTATCGTGGGTTTCTGAAATCAAAAATCTATGTATAAAACTATTGTCATTATTATCTATAACGAAACAGAGATAAAAATATGTTTTAAACTGATATATGGGTCTCAGAAACCAACAGTTACAGCTTGCATACGACTGTGCCAACTACATACATGTATATTCACGGCTTATGACCATAAAAACAAGGCAGTATGGTATATTTATAATAAATATTTACTTAAAAAAATTTACCTTTTATGAGGTTCATATACTAATGAGTAGAGAGCTCCAGCGATACAAAGCGGGTAGAGTAAGATGGAGAGATATCTCATAGCCTCTGCGTCAGCGCGCGCCGTGCAGCGCTCCGCCGCGTCCCCGCCGCGCTCCCGCCACACGCGCAGCCCCCACCTCCACACTGACACGCGCAGCTGCAGCACCTTCGTCACCTTCCATATCTACATACACACATTTTAAATAGAAAGTGTCAAATGAACACAATTTCCATAGCAAAATTACCGCTGCCCACAGACAAGGATTAGTTGCCTTCCTTTACAGGACAGGACTTTATAAAGTTGATAGGTACAACCCTTGCCATGTCTTCTTTACCGGAAAAAGATCTAAAGAGGAAGAGGCCTAAAATTTGATCTCCGCAGCCACACCAACATACAGCAGTTATTGCCGAATCCATAAACATTAACTATTAAATATAAACAATTTGTCATTGCTCGCGACTTCGTCTCTATAATATGATCTATATCTGTGCTAAATTTCATCACAATCCATTGAGCCGTTCTGAAAATACATAACAAACATCCATCTAAACATTCACAATTATAATATAAGCAAGTTTACCTCTATAACAGCACTAATGCCAGCCGGAATGAGCACTAAGAGAGATGTCTGTTCATCTAGTAGATAGAAGAATATAACAAGCTGTGAGAAGGCGCGCCACAGCACCGTACGCGCAGACAGGCCCGCCAGCGAGCGCGTACTGCGCCAGAAAGACACGTCGTTCTTGAACGCCAGGAAGTCAAATAACAACTACAAAAAAAATCACATATTATCTATGGTCCAACACAATAAAGCTTAAATTAGACCTAAACAATGTTTTAATTTTTAACAATAGGGAATAGAAAACATCTTTGCCCTGAAATAGTGTGAGATTGACTACAGTTGAACCTGGATAAGCACTGTTTCAAGGGTTTATGATATTTTTCACAGTACCTAATAGAGATTTCTCTCTAATCTAACATTCGCAATTATGGAGGTTATCCATCCAGACTGGACAATGACTCGGTCAAAGAGGTTTCTCAATTATTCTGGTTGGCCTTTTTGATTTCCCAATTAGAAAATAAGAGATATATAATAACAATAACAAATTAACTGATGTTATTTTTACATTACAACATAAGATTACAAACTAACTTATGATAATTAAAAACCTAGCGAAAGTCTACATCTTGAGTAATTAAAAATATTACTTACGTGAAAACTAGATATAAATACAGTAGCTGATAACAAATAAAGATTCGTATCTTCAAATATTCCTTTAACATCATCAACATCTTTTTCACCGAAACCGAAACCGTGCAATAATTCCAATGTCAAGCGCACATGTAGAGCCAATCGTAAAGTTCCATAAGTTGTTGGGTTTACAGTAACTGTTATATTTACGTCAGACATACTTTTGTTTAGTAGTTTCAAATGTGACATTCTAGATTTTAACAAATTATGTACAATAATAGGCAGAAATTTTCCATTGCGTACTCTGAAAATAAAACATATTTTTGGAATTATTTTTGTTTTGATCACATTGTAACAAAAGTTTATTAAATTATCAATATTATTTTCTGTAGTGCTTAAATAATTTTAGGCTAATGCCTATGTTTATATCAATTCATCTGACAAAAATCTTTTATGGAGTATGTCAGGAAATGTAACTTTTTGTGTGTAGTACATATTGATGTCTCCAACTTGAAATTAATGTTAGAAACAGGAACTGTAAATAGTTGTTTAATGGATGTTCATGCATTATAATTAATCACATTAATTTTTTAAAGTTTTCCCAGAAAATGATCTTTTATTGATAAGCTAAGTAAGCAAAATTAGTAAGGTAGGCTAAGTTATAGTACCTCAAATACTGCAGCAGCTCAGGAGGCATTCTTCCAGGAAGCCTTATGTTGTCAGTCAGAATTGATAAAGGAACTAATGTGGTTATATGTGAGTATGGTTTTATACTTTTCTGAACAGGTTTATCTATTACCTCCTACAAGAAAAATACAATAATTTATCATCATCATCTCCCCGGCCTTATCCCACTCATGTGAGATTGGTGTACAAGTTTTTATTAAACTTAATGTTTTTTTTTAATTTTTATGGCCATCCACCTACCTCCTTCCAACCCAACTTGGGAGTGAAATTAAATAATTATAGCTTAATACTCAAAAATTACTACTGAAAATACACCAACTAAAGTTATTATATGATTGTATAAAACTAAATAAAGGGGGATGATAATTAAGATGTAGGAAACTACTTACACTAAATATTGTTTAAAGTAAAATTGAGGTATGCAAATCAGTACAGAAAATTATGAATTAAAATATTTAAATTAAGGACTTGATACCTGGAGATGATAGAAGTGCTCATTAAAATATTACTCTGAGTGTATAGGAGCCAAAATAGTAATATTAAATCAAAAGTAGTAGCAAAGTAACATACATTATGATTGAGCAAATTAAATGTAGCAGCCTGGGGTTCCACGTAAGTTACTAGAGGTAGGGTATGCATCGACTCAGTCGCGTGGAGCTCTCGAAAATCCCTATATAAGCGGCTTTCATCCAACAAAACTGCATGCATGTACAATGTGCCATTATTGCGAGTTTTTCGAGGAATTTTGATGTTCACATCTCTGCAATATATTATAAAAAATTATTGAACAGGAAAAAAAAATATAAAAAGATAAATGCGAAAAATGAATAAGTATTAGAACTAACATAGTTGTCGGATTCCGATAGTCAATTTTTAAAGAAGTATGAACTTTTGTGACAGATTCTGCTGCGGATCCATCAAAGCGAGGAAACTGCTTTACAGAAGTAAATAAAACAAGATGCTGCACTGGATTAGAATTCAAATATGATGAATAACATCTCTCGCCACGAACGCACTTAGGTGGTATGAAAATTTCAGCTAAACTCCATATTGTGTGAATGATGTATATAGCTATAACTATAGAAAGAATAAAGCTTAAAGATAAAAATTGCATTGTGAGATTTCAGGCCAAATACGAAATCGTTTAAAATAAAAACGTTTGTAAAATGAAACTGTGTCTTTTCGGTGTCGGTTCGGTATCAATGTCAAATCAATATGACAGTGACATGTGACATACTTCGACTCCTTTGACTTTTTGATTGTGGTGTTGCAAAATTTCAAGTTCAACCGTAACCAATAGACAAAGTAAATGGTTTGTCCAAAACTATGTAAAAAAAACGAAGAATTTTTATTGCGTTCATTATATTGTGCAATTTCACATTAAGGATAAAAAGAGGTAAAAGTAAAAGAAGTTTTTTAATTTTTTATTTGTTTTGAGGGGCAATTGAACATTGTCTAAAATGCATTTTTTACAGGCAACACAACCAATTTACATGGACGACAGGTGTACAGGGACGTAATAAATCGGTGTCACCTAGGAAATAATATTGATGTTTTATATACTTAAAGTATCACTGCAGGTATATTTCTTTCTTAAATGTGCTACGAAAGTAAAGTATTGATTAAAAGAGTTCTAAAAGTGTATAGTGCATGTGGCAGTGTGTTTTGACAGATGACATAGGTGTTGATATTTTGTTTATATTTCAGGATGATCCATAATTTTGTTATGAGTTGGAGGTAAATGGACAAATTTTCCATTAAATGTTCAAAAAATGACCACGACTCAATATTTAATACACCCGAGTATCGGTTGTCATGAACGCTAAAGATTTGAGAACCGATTCTGCTCTGGGTGGACATAACAACGATGGCAGCACAAAGTACGCCCAGAGCGGCAATTCACTACAAAATAACTCTAAATCATATCAAGATATTGGTGCAAATCCTTTGGCTAAAGTGGATGTACAGACCTCGAGGCCGTGTGCGATTATCGGGCCCGATCGAATTTTGCCGTCGCCAAACTGCAACGATGGCTTTGCGAAAAAAATAATATCTGATTCGTGGCCCTGCTCAGACAATATATATCGGCAACCTCCAGATTACCCGCATAAGATTTCTGAATATCAGCCACCAAGAAACATATCTCCTAGACAAACATTCCAAGAAAACATGCAAAGAATAATGGTGACACCTTATAATTCAACCAAAAAAGTTGATGAACCAAACTTCCCTGTGGACAGAAATGTTGCTATGCTAAAAAATGTCAAAGTTAATTTGCCTTCAGAGGCAAAGTATTGTGATGTGCCTTATACAATTGGACCAGCTTGTAATGAACAAAAAAACCTCAGAGTTGCAGAAATTCCTGTGGCTAATTTAAATCCTGGAATTCCTCGAAATGGCCCTCATGGATGGCCACCTAATAATGTTAATATCAGACCTCTAAGACCCTATGGTGCTCCAGAACTCTACCAGTATTCTGAATATCCCAGTTGTGCTGGTCCAAGACCAATGCCAATGATAAGACCTCATCGAACAGTTCAAGAAGACCCCAGTCGACTGTATCCTGAGCAGTATTATCAAGATCCAAATGTTCGATTTAGGCCATATCCATCAAAAGGGAGGTATCCACCTGGCAGGTATGAATATATAAGTAATTATCCGAATTCATTCCACCCACCATTCTCACCTCATGCCTTTGATCCACAAAAATCAGCACCCCCACATTCTTATCCACTCTATCCACAAGTTCCAATTAAATATATTGATAGAAGGATGGGGGAACCAATATTGGATGCTTACCAAAGGCCTAGTCCACAAGCAAATGTTGCATACCGTAACCAAATATTTCACCCTTCTTATGGGACTCTGCAACCAAATTGTATACAAAATAATATGTTCCCTTATCCTTCTGATAGTTCAAAGTCGGTGATGCCAAACAAATTACCTTACACTAACAACAATAAGTTATATCTTGATTATGAAACGTCCCAGAATAAAAAAATTACAGTTTCCGATAGTGTATACTCAAATGATGCTAATCATACAAACTCTATGAAAGGTGAAATCGTATATCCTAATTATCCACCTGTTAATATGCACGGAATTTCTCAGCTACCACTTTACCGAAAAGAAAATGTTCCTATGAAAAATTTTGATTATGTACCGCATATTAGAAATTTGGACCCTTCAGCAAATTTTCATAACCCATTATTGAGACATCCTATACATTTCTCTCCAAATGCTGTTGCGATTTCTCCATCTGATTCAAATACCAGCAATGATACAGCTCAGACACATGCAACTCAAGAAGATTGTGGTTATGTCAGTCAATCATCAACTGCTAGTGGAAGAAGCTTAGACTCACATATGAATGGTTTTCCAAGTGATCACACATACAGATCACCTGATTATAGATATGGATATTTACCTAGGAATGTCACAGCACAGGTTCCTAACAATAGTAAAAATTCCAAAGTAAAAAAAGACTTGAATGTAAGACAATTTCTTCAAATGTGGAATGAAGGGGATGATGAACCAAGTGAACAGAACAAGGAAGAGACACTTCCAAAGGGTGATGAGTTAAAGAACTTGCAGACTCATCATGACAATGCAAATAAACAAGAACAGCTCTATGTTCTAGGTTTAGTTAATGTACCTAGTGAAGAACTAGCTAAATATGACCATATACAAAAAATTTCAAAGTTGCCTGAAAATATCAAAGGCTATAATAATATCGAGTTACTTAACCAATTCGAAGAAGCTATTGAATCAACAAATATGAGACAATTTAATTTAAAACCACAAAAGGAATACCATGCCCCATTGAAAAGTACCGTGGCAAAACAGCCAATGAGCATACCCCGGCCAGTATCACCTCTAGATGTTGAAGCGAAAATAAGCCAGTCAGTTATTCACAAAGAAGTAGGATGTAATTTTGAAATTAAGCCTTGCAGCCCAAAAATGTTAAATGTTGAAATTGCTACTCCCATTCAAAATATATTAGATGAAAGAATAATTGAAAAAGTATCCAATCCCATTGCTTTGAAACCAAATGTGTTACACAAAAATGATAAAACAAACATTGAAAGAAGTTTTCCAAAAGCACAACATTTAAATTGTGAAAATACTTCAAAAGATATTATCGCCAGTTGTTCTATGGATAATTTACAGTTCAGAAATGATAATTCCTTAGATCCTGGCAAACAAAATTATAATTTACAACAATATTTAGAATATTCCAGTGTATGTTTATCGTCTTTACCTCGACTAGATAATGATATTGAATTAAATTTTCCCGAAATTAATCAACAGTTTATAAATGCCAATAATATGGAATCCGTGACTTCGCCTACACCTATTAAAGACTTACCCATATTGGATTCTGATCAGAAAGACGGAAGCAACATTAAAAATGAAATTGAAAAATCAACTAAATTATCGCACTTTTCTCCAAATACAGAAACTGAAAACAATGTTTCAAAACTGAGTAAATATCGTAAATTAAGAAAAAGTGATTTAGAATCTAAAGAAAGCCAATTAAGTCCATTAACGAAAACACAATTTAGGACAGACAGTGTTATTATCAAAAATCCAGACATGAATAAAAATCATGAAAATGATTGTAACATTATTCGTGATTGTAACGCAGATAACGAGCAAATTACTAAGAAACCAGATTTAGTTCTTAATGATAGCATTACATCGCCTCATACTCTACAAGACGAAACAAGTATGAAATGTCTAATTAAAACTAATTTAGATCAGGAACAATGTAACATTTTGCCAAAAATAAATAACGAAGTGGATCAATCTAATTTGCCTCCAGATATTGCAATTGACTTTAGTTTGAATAAAAGTAATAATGAGTCAATGAAGGATTGTTCCCTTAAGGAACATACTAGTGTTAATGATTCGTTGCTTAATTTAATCAATGAAGAGATGAATATTTCAGAGGCATTTGATAAAGCCGACTTGTCTACAAACACTAGCTACAACATATCAAGTGAAATTGAAAGTTGCAATCATAGTGATGACAAAACAAATTTACAATTACTGAATGATCTTGGGGTTGAAGAATTTTCTGATAAAATATTACCATCACAATCTGATGTTACAGAAACACATGATGAAAAATGTGACACTCCTCAGTCCCAAAATGAATTACTTTATAATTCCGAAAGAATAAATTTGAGTATATCAACTGAAGCTGTTGATTCAATTCTTGACACTGATTTAAATAAAAATGATATTAATTTAGAAGAAAAACATAATAATACACAAGATTCTATATCTAAAGAGGATTCTGAAACCATTACTTCTATAAGTTGCCGAGCTGAAGAATCAGATTGTATTGATAAAAATCAATATTCTGATCACACAAAAGAAAATTATTTGAGCCTAGATAATGATTTTGAAAGTAATATTTTCTATCATGATATGTCTGAAAAACAACAAGATGATGTACAGATTGTAGACAGTAATTTGATGGTGCCAATGAATGCAACAATCACACCAGAGGCCGATCGCAGTAATAATAATGATACATCCAAAGTTGAGTTCGAAGTACCTCCAAGCACATCAGAGGAACCTAAATTCGAAAGTGATGTAATGTCATTGGACGTACAAAGTTGTAGGAAGAATGAAATCAATAAATGTAGTGAACATCCTAACGTATCCATGCCACTTTCGAGTAAGGACTTCTACTTTAACAAACGGTTATATTCGAGAATAATTCAAAACCTTCTAATACGTAATGAGGAGGCAGTATTAAAAGAAAATAAATCAATATTACAAGAATCAATAATAAATCTCAACAACGAAGATAACGTTGTCGATACTAATAGCATTCCTATTAAAGACGATATAAACAATCTTACATTAGCCATCTCTGTCAAATTAGAAGAAGTTTCAGAACATACCATGTGCACGGACTCTAATAACACTGAAGATATCTCAGTTCATAAAAACGATACAAATATTTTCATCAGTTCATCTGAAACAAATACCATTTCTATGAATGATAAAAGTTATTCTGGAGGTGATGATGATTTGAAAAGTATTTGTAGTAGTACAATTGATACCATGCCTGTATGTGCAGATAATGCACCAGAAAACGAGAAATTGAGTGGCTCAGAACTTGTTGATAGTTCTATAAAAGATAATAGAGTAGAAAATGTTAAAACAGATTATGTTTCAACAAATAAAGAAGACGCTGAAAGTTTAAATTTGGTACCGGCAGAGGAAAGTTGTAATACAGACGAAGAAAAACAATCGTCCTGTAATTTAGAAGAAGAAATAATAAGTAAACCTGAAGTAAGCATTGACCGTCGTTTGCGTTTGAAACGTTCTTTGTCTGATTCTGCTTTAAATATGTATACCAACGACGACATAAAACCAATGAACACTGAAAACATATATTCAATTCCAAAAAAACGTAAAAAGATTAATCCTTGTGAAATGATGGAACCACATTTAATTGCCCAAAACTTATGTGATATTATTCAAACGAATCGTCGTAATTCCATCTCGACTTTATATGACGAGGAAAATGTGTCCTTTTGTATCCTTATTGATAATTCCTGTGTTATAACAGAAGATTCTGAAGAAGCACAAAAAATTTGCTTGGCTGAAATATCTGAAGATGACTTTGAAAATAAATTCGAAAATGACTGCGCGTTCGCAACAGAGGGTATTATATTTACAAATGAAATAACCAATAATGAAACATGTTCTGTGAGTGAAGATGTTGAAACAGATACAAAAATCGATACAGAAAGTGATTCGATCGGTGATATGAATGATTTCGTTCAGGAAGATCCCGTCGACAAACACAGAGAAGGTAAAACTATTGATGAAGAATCCTGGATTGAAGACGTTGCATGTGTAGAGACCGTATTTAGTGACAACATTGCGGAAAATATAGTTCTTGATGCACCATATTCTCCGAGTGACAGTGTATTAGACTTTGAAATGGAAGAGAAAAACGAATCTCTAATTTATAATGACACTGAGAATATGGAGAAAATAAAATATATTTATGGTAACGAAATGTGTACTGATGATGCCGAGCTTGTAGAAACATTGTACAGAACGCCGCAAATGGACGTGACAAAAACACTTATTCGAAGTGAATCTCAGTATTCAGATGAAAACAATCGATATTACGATAACGATTCATTGGAAAAAGTTTTGTCGGAATCAAACGATAGAAGTGAATATGAGTCTGATATAAAATGTTATAACACAAAGAATAACTCGCCCGATACATTGAAATCGGCGACAGAACACGATAGAGACAGCCTAAATTCTAAGTCACCAATAGAAAACGTTGTGAATAATAAAGGCGATTTCATTGATTCAGACTCCGAGGATAATTTAGTCCAGTCCTTGGAAAACTCCGTATGTCAACCAACGCAATATGATACAGTACATTCATGTGAATCTACTTGCGACAGTGCAATAACTTACCATCATAAAGATGAAAGTCCACGATATTCCAGTTCACCCGAAGTATCCTCTACCACGTCTGAAGAGAAAAGCTGTGGTATTTTATTAAAAATAACAAAGTGCAATGGATCCATATCATCGCAAATTAACGAATTTAGTACAAAAAGTACAAATAAAATAAGTAGTAAATTGTCTGAAAATAACGAACTAGTAAATTATCCTAGAACACGACCTCTTCTCACAAAAGCCGCACAAAAGTACATACCCCCTTTGAAAGAAACTATACGCCATCTAAAGGTTAAACTACCTTTGCCACAAAATAGCCTTAATAAATTAAAACTTTTAAAAATAGCAAAAGAAAAACCAAAGTCAGATGAACGTCATATCAAAAGTAACGATTTGCTCAAACATCGTTACCCAAAGAAGAATAAACCAAAGTTTGAAGATGTCCTTAAAAGCATAGATGAAATCCAAATAAAAATGCATAAAGAAAAAAATAAAAAACACAAATACTCTATTCCTAAAGTAGTTATTAAGAAAAATGAAAACGGTGCTCATTACGCGAGTACTTCGAGCGACAGGGACGCTTACAACCCAGACTTGACTGGAAGAAAATGGCAACCATGGGTGTTTATAGAAAAAAACTATTTTGTTGACAAAATGGCTTTAAATAACAAAGTAAAAGCTATATACAGTTATAGAAAAAACACTTATGTGTTAGCTGAGAAATTTCGTAAATACAAATCTGTAAATAACGCAAAGTTTATTATAACGCCACCAAATTTGGAAGACATATCTTCTGGTAAATTGAAATATACGATACGTTTAAATCACAACTACTGAGGTAGTTTAAGTTGTAAATTAAACTTTTTCATTTTATACTATTGTATAGTGATAGTTAATCCAATTAATATCCCACCACACAAAGTCGGTTAAACAAAACATTCCTAATATGTTATATATCCCATAGTTACCCAATTTATTTATCAATATTATAGATGTTAGCACTGAAGCCAAAATTTTAATGTGATCGTAATAACAAAGAAATATTTAGGTACTTTATTTGTAGTGCAATTTGATCAGATCTGTATTTTGTTGTTTTATTTCAAATTTTATATATATATATAGTTTTTGTTCTATCATTCCATTAGTGATCGTTTTATTAAAATTGTGTCCAAAAAACAAGTTTATATGTATATGTTGCTGATAATTCAGTAAACAAATATCTTTTGATATTTGAATATTAATAATTTGTTATGTAATATATATCGTTAATATTGTAAATACATTTAGATATTATATTGATATTTATATTAGAGCACAGTTTATAGATAAAATATTTTTATTTTTAAGAATTAAGACACCAACGGGATCACCTTAGATTTTTGCATGTAAGATAAATATTGGTATATTAAACATCACATAATCTTTTATAGTTATGTAGTAACAGTTGTTAAAACCTGAGAGAAATTGTTATTGTGATCGTGTAAGTTACGGTCAAATATTGCTCACCTAAGTTTAAGCACACTAATTTTAAGTGAAGGATATACTATTAATTTAGTATAAAAGTACAAAAAGTGCACTATATTTATTGTAAAGTAATGCTTAAAATATATATTTATACAATTTTTTTAATGTAATTGCATTAAAATCAGGCTATTTCGTTTAAACTATTAACTATTAATACTCACACATAGCTAAATAAATACCAAAGCTATGTAATTCCACTGATAGCCTGCGATTTTTTTTTTCATTCGCAAATTATGTAACATTTTTCTAAATCACAGTGCCTCAGATTTTGAAATATATCACTTTGTCCAATTTTATATAGGAAAACAACAAAATGCTAATAACGTCCTAAAAATATATTTATGTACGGTAAAATGTACAGCGTTTAGTGCCTTTGAACGTATTGAAGCATTGTTACGCAAGAATGTTATTGAAAAGCCTGATCGGTTACAAATTATGGACTATATTATGTTTTATGTAAGATAGAAGATATTTATTAAATTGTTCCTAAATGTAAAATGTCCAAAATACGCGTATAATGCTTTTCTAATTACCCTTTCACTCGTACATGGTTTATAATATTTGTAAATAATAAGATTGTGCATAGTCGTAAATAAAAATAGTGCGTAGCTTACTATTTATTTACAACTGCTTAGTTTACGTATTTTCAAGGAGCTGTGTTGCAATTTTCGTGGTATTAATTATGCATAGCTAACAAGTTTCCCCGAAGTAGTTGGACATTGATGTTGGCAGTGTGGCAACTCGTTTGTTCCAATTTGTACGGTTGCAAGGGGCGGTCATGCCACACTTAACCTGTGTTAAATCGCTACAGCCGAAACCATGTACGTGTGAAAAGGTTTTAACGTAGCGAATAAAGTTAGTGTCGGAAGATGCGCGTAATTTTAAGCATGTATTTGATGCGTATACACCATACAAAAATTCACACAATGTTTTTGTAATGCATTTTGCAATTGAGAAATGTATTATTTCGGATGTATATTATGATCTCACTTAGGCAATTCCCATTTTAGCCTCCTGCGTGTTAACGCCTATACATGTTTCTATGGATACACTATTTTTATACTGTATACAGGGTGTTGAATAAATATACCAAAAATGTGCTTTTATCTTTTAGCAAGTGTTGCCTTCGTAGATAGTTGTAAACCATAGTTAAGTTATATAATATGTGTATTTACTTTAAATTGTATATTATGTACGTGTGAGTGGTTATAGGACTGTCTATTTATTAAAGATAATCTATATGTTAAGGGGATTACGTTAATTAAGAATAAGTTTATTAGAGTTTTCTAAATATTTAAAGGTATGGTTTTCCCTTGCTCATTATAGGAGCGAATTCTTTTGTGTACTGTATAGTTACGTTGTGTTTGTGAATTTTCTAAAGTTGGCCACATTGGCGTGTTTATATATATTTAAAGCCAAAAAATTACGGCTCAAAATATTTCATGTAAATCAACAATGACACCGTTCAAATTAAAATAATAATACATGCCATACCTGGAGGCTCAATTTTATGAGTTTTTGGATTTGGAAATGTTGATACATGTTAATTTTGTCATTGTGTTTTTTGAATTCGCTGTATGTTTGTTACGCACTGTTGACTGGATTGTTAAGTTTATTTTTTGCACATCGTTGGCCATTCTTATAAGATAAATAATATTTTACTGCGGTTAAAAGCACTGTTTAGTTTATGGTAAAGGAATAATTATTTATAGTCGTAATATTTGTTTTGTCGTTTAATGTTAATGCATATCTATATGCCAGTAACGCACGTGATAGGTGTTTCGTGATAGACATTGTATGTAATAATTTCGAGCCACGCACTCGCTTCTATTCGGAAGCCACATCGTGTGTGCAGTGTGCGTGGATAACAAACATATTTTAAAATGGGTATATTGTTTTTTGAGTGGTAACTAGTTTTGAGAAATGTTCTGAAATTGACCAAATAAATGTGTTCCAAATAAAAATGCTTTGTTTATTCAATTGGTTTATTGAGTTACACAGGTATGTTGACCTTCACCGCCTCTTGTCTAATTGCACTGATCAGGTCCTGGTTGACGAGGAACACGAATCGAAGACCGGCGATCTGTAGAAAAAGTATTAGCTAAATATAAAGTGCTCATAAAGTTATGAGAATTAGGGAATGAAAAAATTGCCAACATTATAATAAGTGAATAAACGACGGAGACGTATAAGTGTTATTGTCGTTTAAAAGTTGTTGTACAAAGGATAATAGATATTATTTTTGAACACCCTGTAGTTACTAAGTACAGAGGCAAGCAGTTTACTTAATCGTGAACAAAAAGGCTCCTTTTCCACTAATCGGTTGGCCGACCGACTACTCATAGAAATAGCAGGCTAGTCGCACTGTGGAAATTAGGTTAAAGAACTACAAACCTCTATGACGCTGTTATGATTCAGTTTAACTTTGTTGCCTTGAAGTACGGGGCGGCCGTCGACGAATATCGGCCGCTTGCCTTCTGACGACATAAAGAAGTCACCACTGTTGCGGAGACGTATGGTGGCTTGTTTCCTCGACACCTTCGCTGCGGGTCCCTCCAGCGTCAAGTCGACGTCTATAGTATGATCTCTTGTGCTGCGACCGACCGCTATCTAAATAAACAAATACGTGTACACATTCATATAGTTAATGTAAGCTGTGCTAGTAAATTAACACTTCAAAGAAAATAAAATTATATTCGTAACTTTTCCAAAAATCAATTTGTCTGTCAGTCTGTCCGCAAATCGGCGTTTGTTCCTATACGGTAGAAGCGATTTTCACAAAATTATTACTGGAAGATAGCTTATATTTGCGAAGGGTGTAAATTAAACATCTTTTTTTTATAATTCCACGCTGACGAAGTCGCGAGCAACAGATAATCTTACTCATATTATAAATGCCAATGTTTGTTAGAAGGTATCTTCAGAACGGCTGCATGGATAGTTAAAATTTAACATAGATGTAGAACATAGTCTGGAAGAAAAATAGCCTACTAATTATGTTTTTTTTTAATTCCGCGTGGACGGATAACTAGTTACATATAATATCAAAATATACAACGTTTAATTAACTATAGGTATTATGAGATAAGTAAAATACACTAAATTTATATAATTAATAATGAATATTTATAGTTTTGAACAATTTTCCTTAAAGATAAATACGTAAACATGTTCAATTATACCAATATATTTAAACCTATAAGGCCATTACACTTTGCGATAGTGCGTAAGTAGTTTGCAAAGCGAAAGTTAAGAAGTGTTGTGAGAATATTCGATTTGCAACTAGTGTAGTAAATAAAATGATTAATCGTTGGTTTCTAAGACCAAAATCCCTAAATAAATCATATCAAATCGTATCTGTTTTGTGTAAGATGATGACAAGAATGGCGATATATTTTATACAGGGCTTTTCGTCTCAGAAACCAACGATATAAAATCATCTAATATCATTTACAAAAACCTACCACTTACCGGGAATGTAAATTATTTTCATTATTTTACCAAAAAGTATTCAATAATTGCGTCTTTAATTTAATAAAATTTAAGTAATTATAACCACATTTCACTTAGACATATTTTTTAAATTATTAATTGACTATAAGACCAAGTAAAATAAGAAACGTTTGAAATGGTAAAGAGCCATATCACAGATACAATAGACTATAAAAAAACACAATTGTTCTATAATAAAATAATTTACTCAGAATACCATTGTATATGAAATATTTATTAAATATACGAAATAAATATAAAACAATGAATAATTTCAATTATTGGTAATAAACACTTGTGTAAGAATTTTCTCCGCGACTGTACTTACTTGTGTCGACTACAATTGTGTCATAACAAGATACGTAACGTTATGCGAAGATACGTATTGTTTACTTGTTAATTTCGCAGATAAGCTATCAGCGTATCTCGCAATGGACATACGATTGCCTGAGCTCCGATCGACCGTCACAATATTTAGTTTCAAACTGAACTGCTATACAAATTCAAAGCTGTACAACATAATTTGTTACGCATTCAAATAAACATATTGTACGCCTCGAGGTTAGACAACGCGGATAACATAATCTTAAAAACAAGTCGTCTTATTTTTTTTTGAGTATTTAATAAAGAAGTATAATGAAATCAGGAGCTGGTGGGAAATTTTGTGTAGTAAGTGATTACTTATCTTTTATTTTTTTAAGCCTTAACAGTCTTAAAAGTTGATTCGCAAGTACAATGGTTAAATCCAAGAGAAGCTTAAAAAATACTATGGCACTTAATTTGATTTTTTTAACTAGCTTTTTCACGCAACTTCGTCCGCACGGAATTAGAAAAAAACAGGATGAATATTAGTCCTCGAATGATCACTTTTTCAGTCAGATATGTCAAACCGTTGTAGAGTTATCGTGTAAATATGTAAAAACAACAAACTTATCCCGCGAGAACATTACGTATTTTCGAAAACATTGGTAGCCAGGACATGCCCTAACAATTAAGCCTTGATCTTGACCACGAATACTGTAATTTAGTGGACTAATCATTGAGCCATTTCAGTAAATCAGAAAATCTAACTAATCTATAGCTTATTCGGTTTAAAAAGTAATAATTATTTATTAATTTTTCTTACCGAACAGACTTGGTGAATACAATTTTCAGTTGCTTTTTTACATTGTCAACACCACGATTACTC